GCATCTCGCTGCTTGCGGGCAGCCTTTCGTTGTGTACTGGAGATCAATGTTCAACGAAGCGCGCCGAAAGCCCTGCTGCTGCTGCTGCTGATGACGACTGACCGGACATCGCCACACACGGGGATTTAATAAGTACCGTGAGACCGGATGAAATTCGATTCTGAAATCTGTGTTATGGAAAGCGCTTTTTGCAGGCAATCGGTGATAATTTTGATCACCATTGCAACAGTTGGACATTTGTGTAATTTTCAATAGTAACCTATTGAAAATTAATAATGTGTTCATTTTATCAGGTTCGTAGAAAAATTTCCAATCGATTGGCTTGTTTAGAATAAAAATCCATTCGCTATTGACAGAGTTATATATGGTCAAAACCTGACCACTTTTCGTAATGCGGTCGATTATGGTTTTTTGAAATTGCACCCCCAATATGTTGCCGAAAGACGTAATCCTACGTCAAAAAAGGTTTTTAAGGGGGTCCTACCATTTGTACTCTATTTTCACCTTAAAAATTCGTTCACTTGAGCGATAGAAAATTGTCGTCTTCGACAAAGTTTCTTAAAATGACTATATCTTCAATGTTTTTGTAAATGTTCATCAATTTTAATAATACATAAAAAGTGTTTTTTCTTCATATTAGTGTACATCACCCTTAATCGAAAAAATTCACCACTCAAATAAAGTACAATTGAAGTCAGTGATGCAAAATATCATGACACTCACGTGACTCTCGTCTTCGCATCAACCGACTATCGCTGACAGATCGTTTTGTCACGCAGTGAGAGTTAGAGCCATGGCAAACAACAATCACCAATAATGGTCGCTGCTCACAAGCAAATCGTTACACTCGCTGCTGATAATGAAAAACACAACGAAATCAGTAAAAACTTCTGCAGTACGATCATGAGAAAAAGCGAAACGACAGTAGAAAATGAAAACAATGCCTTCGCATTCCAAGTTCGTCTCGGCAGGCGCGAGTGTCTGAGTTACAAACAAAGCAGGCAACATGAAACGGAAGCTGTTGGGCTCACTCACCAACACACTCACATATGCAAGCAAAGCAGCAACTGCTTCAAAACGAGTGTCGTGATTGTCACGAATGACCAGATCGGTGATGGATCACAACATAAGACGGCATTCACCAGTTGCTTTTTACTTCTTTGGTCAACTTGATGGATGGTCATGGAGAGAGCTTCGACGAGCACATTGATAGGAATGTACAAAGCGTTATTACCATCAGCTGTTTGATGATGGTGATTGTGATAGGTCGCAACTCTGATTGAAGTAACATTCTAGAAGACATCAAAATGCTACACTCAATAGTTTCGTCGCAAATGACCATGTCACACTTTTTTTGATTTCGTCCCTCTGTGCGAGGGTTCGGAAAAGGCTGAGTTTTGTTCAGTAGTTCGTCTTTGTTAGCTGACTGATAGTTAACTCTTCGAGCACCGAACTGAAAATGACCTCGACACTTTTTTTCAAAATGATGTATTTTGGATTCTATTTAACTTTTAAAGAATATGTTACCTGCGTTTGCCATCGCTCCGTAAAATCCATATTATTATGTTATAACAAAATTTCCCAGAGATCAGTACTCTTTCAGTAGTGCGATTTTAAATTCGACTATGCAGTAGACTGATGCAAAATTTGAAATTTTCGCTCCACAGTGTTCGAACGGTTCCAATTTGGTTCCTGATTAGCCTTCCAAAATTTGAAATCATTTAGTAAGAAACTGACTTGGCACAATCCATTTGAAGTTTATATGGAAAATACTATTGAAAAACCAAATTTTGTATTCATATCTATTTAATAATTAACCCCATTACTCTGCTGTAAAAATCGACAGCTGTAAATTTGCACAACTGCAACTTTGTTGAAACCCATTTTAACTGCTGAGAAAATTTTCCATAAGAGTAGCTATAAATAATTTTAACGGTGCAATATGAAAGAAGGATAGAAGACTACGAAGAAAAAGTTTGGTTTCTCCATAGTAATTTTCATATAAACTTCAAACGGTTTGTGCCCAGTCAGTTTCTTACCAAATCAGTTCAAACCTTGAGAGGCTAATGTAGACCCGATTTGGAACTGCTTGAGCACTGTGGAGCGAAAATGCCAAATTTTACATCAATCTACTATGCAGCATTATTCTAGATATGGAAATAAATTTTCAGGGGAAAATATGTACGGAGAAATTATTCAGTTTAAATTTGCTTAAATTACTTGAGCTTGAGCTTGAGCTTGATTGACCGCCCACGGTTGCTACTCTGTTACTGCCAGATCAGCTGTAATTACACAGAGAACCAATAGACGATGCTTGAGACTAGCAATCCTCTATGTGTAAAAATTGGTGATTTTAAATTAGGCAATACCAGCGCCGGCCGCGCCCGAACACAGGTCAAGAAAGGAATGGGAAGGATTGTGTTGACATGACACTCGCTTTGATGGAAGCCGAGAACACCTCTGCACTTCCACGAGGAATCACTGGGATGTTGGATAAGAGGGTTGGGTTTGCAGCAGGGTTCGTTTTGGTAAACGATAAGCTGAATTGATGTCCTAACGATCATATAACGCAAAGGAGCTTGGGACTAAACCCACGGTCTTCTGCTCAGTAAGCAAAAACGTTTGCCACTAGGCAGACGAGCACCTTTTTAATCACCGAGTTGCTGTTATTACCATGTAGTCATATTAACAAATAAAACGATTGACGAATCTTGAATGTGGATAGGCCTGAGATTAGACTCATGATTTTCTGCTCAGTAAGCAAAAACGGTTGCTCTAAGGCCACCGAGCCCCTCATATCACATAATACCGTTGCTCAAATTTGTGTATCCATTCAAACCCGGAACCAACGACAACAACGAGTTTCGCAAAATACACGATACACAAGCGATTTTACCATAAATCTCTTTGATATGTAAGGACCTGGGACCGCGTTTTTCTGCACAGTAAGCAGGCCACTGTAACCGACGATCTTTCAAATCCGAAAACTAAAAACTACGAAAAAGTACTTAGGCCTTCATTAAGTTCTACTTTCACGCGACGTTTAATTACAGGGTCCTATCCAGGATTACATCTGAAAAATCCAAATCTGGCCAACGCCCACCTAAACCTGTTCTAATCCACCTGAAATGACTAACGAATGGAAGACTTTGACTACCCAGCCATGCAATAGTCTCATTCCGTGCCTTATGGCAACTTGGCACCACACAGGGGAGACTTGGTCCTGTACCCAATGCTTAACTTATCTCCATTCCACTCAGTTACTCGCAATTTCTTGTGATATAGTGGGCGGAATATTATTATATGAGACAATTCAATGCAGACGTCTTTCCAAATTTGGCAGATCGACAGGTAATCGGTGAGTTACCACGATAGTTGCTATTCAGCAACTCGACAACGTCCCATCGTCAACGCCTGCTATGAGAATTTCTCATTGCAGACGCCAACGAAATGACGTCATCGAGCTATCGATCAACTACCCTGGTTATCGCCTGGTACCTTATAGCACGATTCTAGGAGGCGAACCGGAAGAATCGATGAGCTAGCTTTCCCCCTTTAAATTTGCTTAAATTACTTGCCACTAACTTGAAAAAAAAAATTAAATAAAAAAATTAACTAACAATTGTACCAACCACCATTTAACATGACCAAATAAATGATATGAAAGGAGAACTAATATCATTTCCAACAATATAAAAACATCAGAAATCCGTTTATATTACCAACGATATTATAAGATATAGTGCAAATGTGATTTTGGTTTGGTGCTCGAAGAGTTAAAGCTGAGGTGGTGGTCCAGCCACACGTCCAGCACCTACGGATACTTGGATACATCAAAAATATTCATCATATTGGCAATATTAAGCCATTTTATTAATTACCTGGAAAGTTTCATTTTGGCACTAACACTCCAGTTTTTGGTCCTAGTGCTAAATCAAATTTAAAATTTATGTTCATAATTTTATTTGCGTGGCATTTATGGCATTATATATGTTCTAACTTTGAATCAAAATAAATTTAGTAAAGAATGAAAATATGGGAAAATTAAGATACGGCCGATTAGAGAACCACTAGTCCCAAAAACTGGTACACTTATCCAATTAATAAGATTGATAATTGAGAATTTGAAAAATCCCTAAACGTGAGATGAAATTGAACTGTTACATTAACTTTTGCTAATAAGTCGTATAGAAATAATCAGCAAAGTTATTCAACAAGTATAATAACCAATACCATAGCAACTTCTCAAAGGGAAATGACAGCCCCCTCAGCATCAAAACCCAGCTACGCCAGTGGCCAACCATCCCACCGTTTGTAGTACCTATAGTAGGAAGTGGTAGCATAGTAGAACTAGTGTGTAGTAGACTCCTGCCAAAAAGCAGAAAACCTTTGTGCCCGTAGAGGAAGAAGAAGCAGTAACTAGCTAAAATTAAGCGATGAAAAACGTTCAAAATATTGGAATTACGTGTGTCGAAAGGCAAAAGAAGCAAACATCCCATTTGTGTAGAATTTGAAACCAGCTCCAACCATCCTCCGATTATACCTCCCAACTCCAAACCGAATGCCGGACGAGAAACACAGCAATCTCGCACATCTCATCCCGCATCACCTCGCCTCGTTCTCGCTTGATGAAATTGGCATTGCATCAGGAGACATATCACATCCCATCACATCCCGATCGATCTCATTCGCAGATCTGAATTTCAACAATTTTCGCTCAGAGTCAGCATTCCGTATGTGTGTGTTTGTAACTATTGCTCAGCTGTAACGATTATCAGTTTTTCCCATTTTCGTCTCCTCAATTCAAACTCAATTCATTTGCTCTCGTCCCGTCTCATCCCCCCCCCCCCACACCGAACCATCACAAAATTGCATCTTTGTAATTCCCTCTGATTTCTTTGAACCCTCCGGCAACCCGCTTCCCCCTGTTCCCGAAAACTTGCAACTACAACAACACGAAAAACCCGAAACCCCCACCAACTTCCCGGAACCTCTTCCAGATATTACATGGAAAGAAAAATTTTCCAACACCTACTCGAGCTGAAAAGCCTGCAGATCCGCTCGACCAAGGTGAACGAGAGCGGCCTGGTGAAGCGGGCCATCGACGACTACCACAAATCGACGATCGAGCTGGGCTACGAGACGGGCTCGACGCTGCGGCGCTATCCCTACTCGGAGTACTCGTTCAAGAACTTCGAGCTCTTCCTGTACGATACGCTGAAGAGCCTGCAGAAGCGCGAGACGTACAACTTCCAGAACATCTCCGAGGTGTACGACGAGGTGAGTACGGATGGACGAGATGGGGGGGTGCGAAACAATCGAGCTCTGTAATTGAATGTGTCAGTTTACGATCCTGTCTTGCATTGTAGCGTTGCCGTTGGGTGCCCTTTGCCCTCCGTGGCTGGATGGGTGTTTTGTGTTGTTTTATGTGGTCTGTTACTATGTTTAGCTGTTTGTCGTCGCTCGATGGATGAAGATATAAAACCTGCTGGATTGCTTTTGCTTGGATGGAGGGTGGGGATTAAAGCGGTTGCGAACCCAAATGAATACATTGAATTTATTTGGGTGAGTTTGATGCTTCGGGGGGAAATGATCAATTGTTTTGTTGCTGTTGACGTACTCATCAATGTGAACAACGGTTCTGTAAATCTTATTATTACTATTGATTGTGAAATGACGTTTTTAGAATGTGATGATTCCAAATATTTTCTATCAGCTTTGTCTTAGACGTCAATTTTATTAGAAGAGACCGTTTCGTTCTTTGATTTAATGAATAATTACTGCACTGCAGTTATTCGCATTACAGTCCCATGTCCTATTGATTTCCTATCTACATGGGACTGTTATGCGAATAGTGGCAGTGCACTACTTAAAACCAAGGTTGCAAAGACTCATTTCAGCTAAAACAATGTTTTTCTAAATTATGAAATAATTAGATGTCATGATCAAATTTTGAATTGGTAGGATACAAGAAGAGGTTGCAAAGAATGTGTTTGACATATTAAACCTGTTTATTTCACTTCATGAGAGTCACAATCAGCAATTTTTCACAAACTCACTCACTCACTCACTCACTCACTCACTCACTCACTCAGCGATCAGCAAATCGCTGATTGTGACTCATAGAAAGCAAAATTTACAGGTTTTGTGTTTCCAACGCATACTTTGTAACCTCTTCTTGTAAGTTACAAGTAAAACATGCCATCATACCATCTTTTGGTTTTATTATTCCGAAAAACATTATTTTAGCTGAAATGAGTCTTTGCAACCTTGCTTAAAACTATGGCAAGAGTCATGGTCGGTTCGTCACCTTCAATGAACCAAATTTACGGGGTTTGTAGGAAATTCGGACGTCAAAATCAAAAGTGGCCGCAAAACAATGAACATGCAACATTTGGAACATTTTAGACTTGTGAGTCACAAGTTGTGACCAGGCATGGAAAATCATTTACATTCATTTGCCTCTAACTGTTTTCATCAACAGCATTCCGCAAAATAATGTAAAGAGGTTTTGTTATTAGCTACAACTTTTGCTCATATTTTAAATCTGTATCTCTTATGCATCACGAACTAGAGCGGGCAGAACTTGTTGCTGTTTTTCAGTGAATGTAAAATACATTCACTGAAAAACAGTAGTAGCTTCTGTTCGCTCTGGTTCGTCATGCATCAGAGATACGGATTTGACTTTTTGACAAAAGTTGTAGCTAATAACAAAACGTTCAAAAGCTCTATACATCATTTTGCGGAATGCTGTTGATGCAAAACAGTTAGAGGCAAACGAATGTAAATGAATGCACGAAATGAATGCAAATTATTTTCCATGCCTGGTTGAGACTATCTTCATACCCTCACAACAAATTTTGCATATTTTCAAACCTCTAACAAATCTCGATAGTTCTATTTTTATCATTTAAAACTTCGAGCTTTTTCTATATTTCATCAACTTCTGGGACAGGGAAGAGACTTAACATCTGGTACAAGAAAAGCAAATCTGGAGCATAGAAATATTTTTCAGGTTTTGGAACGAAAGTTTAAACCATTCAAACATGTCGAGTTTCCAAGCCATTCCCGAAACATGTGACTTGAATTATTCAAATCAGCCCTTCCATAGTAAAACGATATAGTGATTCTCAGAATTTCGTAAAAATTGCTTGTTTTCTTTTTTATCGCGAAATAATAGACCCGTATTTTTTTTTTTACTTTGTCATTAGGGTGACCATTTCCATGTCAGGGTGATCAAAAAAATCGATTTTTTTTTCAAAAATTAATTTCTTTTGAATCATGGCGCCGATTTCAAGAATCAGAATAAAAAATGAAAGATAATTGAAAATAATTCTGGATAATTTGAATAATTCAAAGCCACAAATTTCAGGTATGGCCTGGAAACTTGACATGTTTGCATGGTTTAAAATTTGCGCAATTGAGGATTGCAACGATTTTTGCCTGAAATTATTAATTATTTTGTTGGACATTTGTTCTAAAGTCTCAACATTCGAAATTCTATGTACCTCAGTAGTACTGTACCAGGGAGGCAACTTCAAAACCATCTTCAGAACTTTGTTCTGAATCCTTTGAAGTGCTTTTTTCCTGGTAGTGCAACAACAAGACCATATTGGCACAGCGTAAAGCATGGCCGGTCTAAAAACTTGTTTAAATATTAGAAGTTTATTCGTCAGGCAAAGTTTGGATTTCCTGCTAATAAGAGGATACAAACATTTAATATATTTGTTACATTTGGCTTGAATGCCCTCAATGTGATCTTTAAAAGTTAATTTTTGGTCAAGTATTAATCCAAGATATTTCACTTGGTTTGACCAGGAAATTGGAACTCCGTTCATAGTGACTATGTGACTACTACTAGGTTTCAAAAACGAAGCTCTAGGCTTGTGTGGAAATATTATAAGTTGAGTTTTGGAAGCGTTGGGAGAAATCTTCCATTTTTGTAAATAAGAAGAGAAAATATCTAAACTTTTCTGAAGTCTGCTGCAAATAACACGAAGACTTCTTCCTTTAGCAGAAATGCCTGTGTCATCGGCGAACAAAGATTTGTGGCAACCCTGAGGCAAATCAGGGAGGTCCGAAGTGAAATACAATATAGGCCCAAGAATGCTACCCTGAGGAACTCCTGCTCTAACAGGTAGTCGATTCGATTTGGAAACTTGATAATTTACCTGCAGAGCTCTGTCAGTTATATAATTTTGAACTAACTTCATAATATAAAGTGGAAAATTAAACTTTTTCAATTTAGCAATCAAACCTTCATGCCAAACACTGTCGACTGCTTTTTCTATGTCTAGAAGAGCAACTCCAGTTGAATGGCCTTCAGATTTGTTTGAACGAATTAAATTGGTAACTCTTAAGAATTGATGGGTAGTTTAATGCCCATGGCGAAATCCAAACTGCTCATCTGCAAAAATTGAGTTCGTATTGATGTGAGGCATCATTCTATTTAAAATTATCTTTTCAAAAAGTTTACTTATTGAAGAAGGCAAACTTATTGGACGGTAGCTAGAAGCTTCAGCTGGATTTTTATCCGGCTTCAAAATTGGAACAACTTTTGCATTTTTCCATTTATCAGGAAAGTATGCCAAATGGAAACATCTGTTAAATAATTTTACCAAGAAAGTCGAAGTACTCTCTGGGAGTTTTTGATGAGGATATAGAAAATTCCATCATCACCTGGAGCTTTCATATTTTGAAACTTTTTCGTTATAGACCTTACTTCGTCCAAATCAGTCCCCCAGGAATCATCAAACATATTTTCCCGAGAGAAAATATTCAGAAAATCCCGAGCAACCTGATTCTCAATAGGACTAGTAAGACCCAAACTGAAATTATGGGAACTCTCGAATTGCTTAGCAAGTTTCTGAGCTTTTTCCAAATTTGTGATCAAAATGTTACCACCTTCTTTAAGCGCTGGAATTGGCTTTTGAGGTTTTTTCAAAATATTTGTGAGTTTCCAGAAGGGTTTGGAACTCGGGTCTAATTTAGAAGCATTATTTTCAAAAGTTTTGTTCCTCAGGGCAGAGAATCGCCTTTAAATTTGTTTTTGCAAATCCCGCCAGATAACTTTCATGGCAGGATCGCGTGTTCTTCGATATTGTCTCCTACGGACATTTTTCAGACGGATCAAGAGCTGAAGATCATCGTCTATTATAATCGAATCGAATTTAACCTCGCATTTTGATACTGAGGCAGCTCTTGTTTCAACTACAGAAGTAGTCAGAGATTTAAGAGCATAATTAATTTCATCTTTGGTTTGCAAAGGAATGTTTGGATCGAAGTTATATTCCATAAATGTTCGATATTGCTCCCAATCAGCTCTATGGTAATTGAAAGTAGAGCTGTTCGGATTACAAATTATTTCTTGGGATATTTCAAAAGTTACTGGAAGGTGATCACTACTAAGACGATGTCATCCGCGTACACCAGGATATACCGTATGCGTGATAATGTTTGCACCATCGTACAAAATGGTGAGTTGACAACCTGGAAGGAGCGGAATACCTAGCCCTGGTCCTCACAAGTTCCTACTTCACGCCTCCTCGAGTCATATGATAACAAAAGACTACCAGCTGAAACATGGACACAGCTGGTTGGCGTAGCCTGGGCAATGTTGCCAGTCCGGCAATAGTAAAGTGAAGAGGTGCGACGCGAACACTGGCGTGGTAACCATAGTACGGTGATAGAGAAAATGCTTCACCAAACCTGAGCGTCTGCTCACCATGGAGGTGCGGCTCAAAACGGCGTCTGTTCTCCATGTTAGGAGCGGCTGATCACCGTCCTAGTGCTAGCGTGGGACTCTAAACAGAGCTGTGCATGATGGTCCCCCGGCGAGACAGGGGGTTGGGGCAGGCCCAACAAGCCGCCCTGAAAAAAAAACAAAGTTGCAAATACCGAAGAAAGAAATACGGATCGGAACAATCGGCACAGACCTACGCGACGAAATAAGGACTATGATTGGAAACTCGGAACATGGAACTGCAAATCGCTCGGCTTCCCGGGTTGCGATAGGTTAATCTATGATGAACTTCAACCACGCAACTTCGAAGTCGTAGCACTGCAGGAACTTTGCTGGACGAAACAAAAGGTATGGAAAAGCGGGCATCGAGCGGCTACTTTCTACCAGAGCTGTGGCACCACCAACGAGCTGGGAACCTGCTTTGTAGTGCTGGGTAAGATGCGCCAACGCGTGATTGGTTGGCAACCGATCAACGCGAGGATGTTCAAGTTGAGGATTAAGGGCCGTTTCTTCAACTACAGCATCATCAACGTGCACT